TGTTATAATTGAATACACGCAAGAGTACAATTGATTACAAATCATATACTTATTGTATGTGATTATTTAATATTTCGTGTTTTTTTTTTTTTGTATTTTTATATATTTTACTACTCTTTTATAATTGTTTATCACAAAATTTATTCACCCCATTCACTTATTATAGTTTATCTTTAATATTTAAAGAAATATTTTATAAAATCTGTTTCAAAAACATTTACAACTTGCTTTTTTTCAAACAAATTCTCTGCCTCCTGTCTACAGATATAAAGTAGTGCACGTGCATCTTGTTGCACGTATCTTGCGGCGCCCATGGCATCTCGCTGTGCGTCCTTTCTCCGTGCATGTCGCCGGGCAATCGCGTAATAAGAGATAAATTAAGCGTTTATGTTCGGCGGCAGTCGCTATCTCCCGAATGCGGATTCCCCGGCACGTGAGAAGCACGCACGCCTAATTGCCGTTGAAATGATCGTCGAGTACGCCTTAAAACACTCAACAATGCGCAGCTCATTACGACCGCTCCCTCATTCTCCGGGACGCAGGAGGAATGTCCTTTCGCGCGAATTTCTGAATTTTTCCCAATTTTCGGATGCTTGTTGTTATGTCAAAAATCGACTTTTTTATCGCATTTTTAGCAGACGATTAATCTCTCGAATGTCACGAACGTCAATATTGTTTCCGCACCCAAAATTGCGCGTTGTTATGCGAAATCCATCATTCAACTTCGCACAATCGAAGTCACGTAGCCTCCACGATGATCACTATAATCATAATGTATGAATGTAGTGTCCCTGCGTGCATAAGTATTTCAGATGTGAATACCATTAATGGCGAAGAAAAATGGTTGAAATTGCTTCAAGGCTCGCGAGTAAATAGTCACGAAATTCCTGAACTCTGACGAGGACCGCACGATTGTAAACAGATATAATAAAGCACCGTTTTCTTCCTCGGTTATTACCTGGATTGTCGTGCTCCTCGCGAACGTCGATACACACTTTGTTTTCTTCCGAGATTCTCACCTACAAATACCTCGCGCGACGATTCTGCTTCCGTCGATCGTCGATATCGATGCAACGCTCGCCATTGTTTGCAAATGCGAGTCTCGGACGCGTAATGGTTCCGGCATTATTAGACGTAGGACTTGTATATACGTTTGAGCGACAATCTCGACTACCGTGCGTGAATCTTCGCGGAGCAAAAGAGGCAAAGATCCTGATAAACCGTTCCGCTCTCGCATAAATAAAAATTGTATTCGCGATGTTGGCTCCTTTACCTGCGCGACTTCGTCAAGGTCGCGTTTACAAAGAACTCGAGCGTATGCAGGTATCTTATTACATTCGCAATAGCCGCGTATTATATAGGTGTAGAACCCACGACGAACAGTGAGAGGAAATCGATTAAGAACGCGATCGATAAGTTTAAAAATCAGAATGGACGATAATTACCTGCGTCCTATGGGCAACGCGTAATTTATGCTCGGAACTGAAAGTCACGGAGCGTGGCACGATACATAAATAGCGAGAACGTAGAACGCGCTATGATTAGTCGATCGAGATCTAAAAGAGTCATTTTGTCATTTTGCGCGCGTAAAATGCATTTATATAAAATAATGTGAATCTTCTCCAAGAATTCACGCTTTAAAGGATTATTTATATTAAAATATTGCCCTCATGTAGCGTCATTAGTAAAAGATTTTGAGATTTAATTTATTTTAATTAGTCTTAAATATGCAATCGGCTCGTGTTGTATTCACGCAGTCAAGTTACATTCTCGTGTAATTGTTAAAAAAATTTCGATTCGCGAGATTCAGCGACAACAGGAAGTAATGCGCTGCGAAATCGTGTCCGCGACGAGTCCGTTGTAAAAATGTACGAGATTTTCATCGGCAGAGCGGTCTGTCGTTGCAAGATTTTACGAGCGACCACATCGGGCAATTTATAAATCGCACGGATGCACACCTGCCTGCGTCCTTCGTACAAAACGCGGGACGCATAAAAGCGGTTTATCGTCTCTCGGCGCGAATTCGACGTGGAACCGACACGATCGCGTTGCGTTTTGTTCCTCTTCTTTCGGGAGGGAATAAGGCATTCGCGAGCTCGTTTGGCGGTTCCGCGTGTCTTTAACGACGCCACAAAAAACGCACGACTAAAATGTTATATCCTGTAAATGTTACACCCGGACTGTTTACTTGGATATTACGGTAATTCGAACGCTGATACGGCTTCATTTGCGTGGTTTTGTTTATTTCACTAGCTAGCGTAAACTGAACGCTTAATTTTCTACTACGCTTCATTACGATCGCTTCCTTACAGTCACTGCATAATTGAACCTTAATATAAATTTTATTAAATCATAAATTAAATATAAGCTATTTTTGCCATAGAACATGAATTGCTTCCAAACTGCAACTGGTTAATTTGCAAGGAATGTAAACTTGATTCTTCTGCATATTTCAAACTTATTTATATAAACAAGCCTTGGATCTTATAAACGCTATATATTCAATTTCGAAACTTTATGTCTGTCGAAAAAATTGGCAATAAATTATAATGAAAATTACAATAGGTAAGTTTAGTAATAGTTTTGATATAGATAAAATTGTTTCATAGATAAGCATTTTCTATTTACAAAATGTGTTTGCTATCGATCCCTGTACATAGAGTTAATATACAAAACTCTAAGAAATGGAAATTAATGTGATTCATTCTATTATGAAATAAATATATTTCTGACATAACTGAAATTGCAGTATTGAACAATTGTGTGATTTTTCAGGTACTGCTTCAGGCGGCACTGGTCTGGGAGGAGGCGCGCGGCGCTCCAGCGAAGAAGAGCGACATACTCGCCGGTACAGAATTCCTCTCGGTCTTTATAAACGGCGCGATGGCAACACCCCCGCAACGGCGCCGGGGCTTTCGACGTGGCGGTCACCAAGCGGCCGCGTCAGCGGGTGACAGCGCGACCGCCGAGTCGCACCAACACGAGGCGTCGATCTATCGAATATCACGGAATCCGAGCGGCGCCCGACCGATTTCGGTGTCGAGGCCGCAGACAAACGGCCGCGAGGAGGTCGTTCGTTTCTATCCCATAAATCAAAAGACACTGGAGAATCGGCAGCAGAATCTAGCGTCGTTGATCGACGACCTGAGCACGCCTGGCGGCATAAGTTCGACGCGATTGACGTCCTCGAGCGCGGCGACAACGACGATGACGAGCACGCCGACGTTGAGGTCGAACGAGACCAACGGATCTTCTATCGGCAGAGGTGTTGTCAGCCGGCAAAAGGTGATTGGAGTCAGCGTCACGTCCACGGTCGAGGCCACGCCGTATAAAGTGCGCGTCGAGCATTACGACAGCTCTGACGCCGCGGTGGTTACGCGACCACCAGGTTTGGAATCTGCGGTGAATAGAGAAGTTACCAGAGAGTCGATCGCTAGAAGCATGACGAGGGATACGAGCAGACCGGCGACGCCGTCGTCCACGACAACAACAACAACGACCACGACCACGACGACTACGATAACGTCGACGCCACCGCCGGATCGATTTGTCACCGAGGAGCTCAGCAACATTGTCTCGGAGTCAAACAGAAGCGAATTCTCCGTCGACGAGGACTCGCCGAGAACGAGCTGGCGCGGCCGCGTAACCATGACGCCACGAATTCAACAGACCCCCGCGAAGAGTTCTCACCAGGACGAGGAAGTCAATGAGGCGACGCGGATCATCGACGTCGATGCGATCACTCTACCGACGGAGGTGAATTACGAGCTACCTGTAGAGAACTCGGAACGGCGGGAGTTGAACGAAGAACTGCCGGAGATGTCGTCGGATCGGCTTCAAGGACGCAAAATGGGACGTCATTACGACGCGCCGCTCTACAACCGATCGGGCCCGAAGGTGTATAGCCAATCGTCGAAGGCATACAAACCTCCGCGTACCTATAACGAGCCGGCCAAGGTATACAGCGAACCGGCCAAGGTGTACGGTGAACCCGAACGTGTGTACGGAGAGCCGGCTAAGGTGTACGGCGAGCCAGCTAAGGTCTACAGCGAACCAGCCAAAGTCTACAGCGAGCCCGCGAAGATCTATAGTGAGCCCGCCAAAGTCTACGGCGAGCCGGAGAAAATCTATTCTGAACCGTCTAAAATCTACTCGGAGCCGGCCAAAGTCTACTCCGAGCCGGCCAAGATCTACTCGCAGCCGGCCAAGGTGTACGGCGAGCCCAGCAAGGTGTACGACTCCGAGGGTCAGCCGGTGGACCGTCAGCAAGAGAGCGGCGAGCCCGACGAACAGAACTACGAGATCGACGAGTCGGTCAGCGTCGGCAGCAACGGCAACGTCCACGGGCCTCAATTGGTTGTTACGGAGGAAACCCCGGGCGCATCCGAGGTCGAGGACGGTCACAAGGTCGGCTACGTGGTGGAGGGCAGGAACTATAGGAAGTACAGGGTCGAAGAAAGAACGCCGGACGGCTTCATCGTGGGCGAGTACGGCGTCGTGAGTCATGATGATGGTTCGCTGCGCGGCGTCAGATACACTGCTGACGGCACTATCAATCCTCAGCTCATCTACGACGCCCTGATGAAGTTCCTCGCATTGTGAGCGTCGTAACAGAGGAAAATAAAAGGAAGAAAGACGAATCGCCGCATGACGTCGGGGGAAGTGGCGTCGCTGGACCAATTTCATCTTCATAATTTATGTTTAAAAAATCGAAAATAATTCGAAGCTCTGCTGAAAGGCAATTGCTATGATCTACGAGATATCTCCATTGCAATTGTTTTCCAGATGTCTGGTCGATGATCTGGTTTTCTAGATCATTTAATATCAGCTAATGATGGCGATGGATTATGGAGAGCACCATTATTTCCTTCTTCAGGAAGACTCGGTCCCGACGTCGATGGCGAAATTGCGGATTTCTTCGAGATGGCTTCGGCGATGTCGTCGACGAGACGAACACGACTGATTCTTTTGCTCTTGCCAACTCAACTGCCTCAACAATTAATTTTAAGGACGACGATTTAGGATCTAAGGAAAAACTCATTCGACGTAGGCGACCTGCACACGCCAAGTACCGAAAGGTCGACCGGGACCGACGCACGAAAGTCGAATCTCGACGCTCAGTCATTGCGAAACGCTGACAGATGAAAGTTACTCTTTGGGTGGCGAAAGTACGAACTTTTGTGCGCAGTGCTGTTCGATGGCCTTTGACGATTGTGGCAACCGATCGAAGTGGTTGTCGAACGTTTTTCTCTAGAGCTACTCGCAAGAACTTTTGAAGTGAGAACGCGGCTACTTTGCGGGCCGCTAAAAATATATTTCAGTGCGTAAGAAGCTTGCGCTTGTGTGCACGGCACGCATCGGCCTGGACGATTTAATGTAATATCGACAATGTTAGGGAGTTAGTAATTTTTCGTTTGCAAATTTTATACGACATTCGATACGGTATTTATCCTTGCCTGAGAGCACGGTAATAAATTCATAACTGTCGTTTCATTATCATAATTATGAGATAAATGGGAGTCGTGCCTGACGAAACGTAAAATGTTGAAGAGATATCTGATCCCGGTGCGATATCGGCGCAACTCGAGATTGATTTTAAGCTTACACTGACAATGATTTCCTCGTACGCATATCGATACGTATCTTCACAAATGAATATCTGACATAACGAGAATCCGTACCCACCTTTGTGCACTCGTCGAGGATGTACCCGCGACAGGCCCTCGATCCCTGATCTCTGATCTTTGATCTCCGGTAAGAAAATTTTGAATTGGATACTCGGACCCCAAATATTTGGGCTGCAACAAATACTTGGCTGAAAGTGTGTTTTAACACGCACGTTCTATGAAAGGACTTGCATCACAGAAATAATCCACGATAGCTTTCCGTCAACTTTTTAGAATAATAAATGTCGGAGATCCTCGATCGATCAATATGATACGATCTCGCGTGACACGAGATTAAATCTTTTCTTATATATTGAAGATAAATGTTATCGCAGTGTCAAGAGATCTGTATTGAGATTAATTTAACCACTGAAGGGGATTTAACGAATTACTCGCTATTTTTTATGCCGCAGTTAACGATGGAACATTCGACATTTTCTCTTATTGTTTTTAACGCCTAAGAAATGCTTAATGTACATACAGTACGATCCAGGTTTGTTGAAGTACCTTGTCTTCAAGGTATTTAATAAAAATATAAAAAATAAAATAAATAGTATTTAAACAAAATATTTTATCATGAGATATATTGAAATTACTCGATGAATCGACCGCGTCCGAATGTTCCAACATTGACAGCCTCCGAAATCACTTGACTGAGAGTCCCCTTCGTGCGCTTTTATCGCGGTCACGCTTCTGCGATGAAGAGGTAGATGAAGAAATTGCAACTGCCAGGGCCCTCGTCCGAGAATGGTCGGTCCCCTAAATTAGCTAGTGGGCCCCGCAGCTGCGATGACGGACCGACTTGTCGCGGCAGCGTCTCCTAGCTTCGTAAGTTCCCTAGATCTTAAGGCTGACAAAGGAAGTATCTCAATCAGAGCGAGAAAGCTCGTTTTTCTTCGTAGTGTCGATTATATTATTTAGCGATTACAACTAGCTCGTTCTTTCACATTACCTCAGTCCTTTGAGATAGTTCCTCTCGCCACGCAATATCGAGCACACACACTCATACTACTAAGCGCGAATAACGCTCCACGAAATTCGCCGAGAAACATATACGGGATGTTCCGAAATCGTCTTTACTTTCTTGATGAGCAATTGCAGGAAGATAATTTCCAGTTTATCGACGAAAAGAAAGATACATAAATAAAAGCAATGTTAGTTTCTGGGCAGCCTGTATATGGATATCTCTCGCGTATTGCTCACGTTCGTAGACTATAAAGGTCTCGATTATATTCTACTTTACTCTTCCGTATGTACATTTCTAAAGCATTTCATTTCAATATATTACAGACGGTATCTCTAAGAATTCTTTCTTGTATAAGGCATGCATCCTAGATAATCTTTAGTACCTTTACTATAAAAATACTATATAATGCTGTGTGCAAGCCATCGCCATTTTTCAACAGCAACTTTGTAATAAATCCATTGCCATGAAGAAAACATTCCGATTATTATGACCTGAGTAAAATGAGCATTTCTCCGATCAGCCAACTATTAATCCCGATTATTTCCTAATAAACTTAATTTTATATCTTTCGTAATATTTTTTCAACGTTTATATTTATGAATTCTCCAAATCTAAAATAAGTTATTCTAAAGAATGTTTATAAAAAATTAAAATATGAATCTGTTATATGATTATAAATCTCAAAATTCATCAATTTATGATATTTTTTATTTAATTTATATTTATATTCGTAACAAAAAACTAATTGAAAGTTATTCTTTTAATAATAAACTATGCATACACCATTTCGCGAAATTGTGAAAAAATTTGATCAAATTCATGTTATTTGCTGACATAAAGGACGATCTATGCATGTGTTGTTACCTGGAACGGAAATCGATAATACGCACATCATGAATATGAAGCGATCAGATCTCAGCGAAAATAAGGGATCATTGATCGTCCCAGTATCATACATGTTCGGACTTAACAAGGGGTTCTCAGCGTCCGTTTACTGTGTATCATGTTCATTTTTGCGGAACACAAAGGCCCTATATATAGTTACCTTCATGACCCTGGAGATATATGTCGGATTACAACGGAATCGAAGTTATTTCAACGAATCATACTTATGCTCGCGGTAAAATGGCAGTAATTGCGCGTGATTTCTTCAGATATGTCGAACAATGTCGACAAATACAAAGAATCCATCGAAATTTGCTGCCGGCGTTTTTGTATCTCTTTAATTACAAAAAAATTTTTTGATAACAATTCTACAATTTTTTTATTAATGCTTTAAAATGATAAATAAACACGGTAGACGCACGTAGACCATTTCTATTAGTAATCTATACATATAACTCCATTGTCAGACTTTGCCTATATTGATTTAAAAAGCTAGCGAAGGCAAAGAATTAGGCACGTATTAAAAATGAAATTAGACATTTGATTTTTCAGAAACTTTTAATTGCGTGAAAAATGCATAAGAACCCTTTGCATGACTTAGCAAATAGAAAAGAAGATTTATTTTGACCACTATCGAGATTTTCTCGTATCCATGTTAGAGCTGTTTAAATATTACTTTAAATAGCTCTAATATGGAAATATTGTTAGAGCTATCAGAAGAAGGATAGTACATTGATACGAGCGCTTTGCAAATCAAGAATTATAACGATTAAATGAGCGACTATTTAAACACGGGATTTTTCGATTTAATTGATAGGGAATCTGGGGATATTAAACAAAGATAGAAAAAACCGGTTTTTTTTTTCTTTCAAAAACCGCGGCCTGTGATTATTTTTTTGCGACCTAATGATCGTATTAATAATACTTCTTGTATAAATCACGCAATAATACCACTGATCAATGTCGGTGCTGGAACAGAGGGCGGGACGACATTAATAACAGCGTTTTGACAGGATCCTTCCTATAGGAGAAATATTGACAGTACAATGTTTCTTCATAGTAATTTTCACATTGTGTTCCGCTGGATTCTTTGTAATGAAAGGAGACGTCTAGCAAATTAAATAGAATTTTAATTATCGCAATTAGAAAGGCCATCAATAATTCTGGATAATAAACATTTTAAAAGAGCAAAATTATTATAAGTCTTAAACCCCAAATTTTAACAGTTCTACAATTGAAAAATTTGCATTGTAAAAGTTCTAAATGATAATTCTCTTTGAGAAGTTTAGTTCAATGGTTCTGATTGTGAGTTAAAAAAAGCTTAGTTTTTACATTAGATCGAGTCAATGCGTGTTTAAATGGTTCAGACTTGTCAGAAACATAACTTTAGCGGCTGTCAAAATGCGATTTTTTATATCTTTATGTATGCCGTGCAAATCTAAACTGATCTTAATTTCCTCATACCTATTAAACTCTGCCCGTGGCGATCATGCGCAAGAATCCAAATACTCGCGTGCGGCGACATTGACTGGTTATTCATTACCGTGGCGCCAGACAGGAGGTACTCGTGAAGTATTCGTGCAGTTTGGGGAGTAATGAACGTCCTTGAAGGCCAGGCAATTTTCTCCATCAGATACTTTCGTCCGTGTCTCGATAACTCGATCGCTAACAACAATCTATTCTGAGCAACAGGCTCTGAAATTTTATCTCTTCTTTTGAAAAATATTCTGAATTTTGTGAAAAAGAAGAACTGGTAGGTAACTTTAAAAAAGTATTTAACAGATCTTACTTAATTGGATATCCAATTTGCTATCTATTATTATTATTATTATTCAATCATTAACGGAAACATACATTTCAATTTCTCATGTGTAATTATTTAAAAGGTACAGTTTTTTGCTATTTCTTTATTAACATTATTGTATTGAATTGGTGTTCAATAGGGCTATATTCAAAATTCTCTTCCTGCCTTTGAGGCCGAACTAATTTCATAACTAACGGTAATAAATCTGCCGGACAACATATATCGAATATGTTTTGTAAAACAGGTATTCAATGACGCACGTTGAATGAAATATATATAAAAATTGTACGGTGGCATTCTTGTCTTGACATATCAATCATAATTTATCTACAGCAATAATTTATACGTTCAAAAACAAAAAGTTTTTCCATCGCTTGGATGATCGGCATCTAGTTCGATCAATCGGTCGCGTTAAAATTTTTAATTTTAACAAACCTTTTCTTATTATAAATTATTATATTATAAATTATTGTATAAATTTTTCTGCCATTTTTAGATGTTTAAAACTTTTTTTAATATAGTAGAAAATAATCATAAAAAATAAAGCTATACTTATAAATGCGAAATACAAGAATATTAACAATGTGAGGTACTTCCAAAACACACATAAGTTTCCTGTGGTTCTTTTAAATCTTTTATAAAATAATTTTTTGTCCAACAATATATTTAAAAAATGTTCTATACTCTGTTTTTTCGATCGGTCGCAACTCTGACGCTGTCTAAGCGTGTAGATGGAACCAGGTGACTATCACCTGACGCAGGTAAGAGGCCGATAAGTTAGGAGAAGGTCTTACCGCTACACGGTCGGATTACCGATACGGTGTGCTGGATTTGAAAGAGGAATAGCGTTCAAAGGAGCAACCGTCGGGGTTTCGACGGCGAATAAACATGGTCACGCGACTCCGCCACTCGATATAGCGCCGGTCCACGCGCGCCGTCTGGTCACGCTTCTTATTGTGTAAATAATTGAAACACTAATCCCCTTTGCCCTCGCGTTGACAGTCAGGATGTGATCGGACGTGACGCGACGACCCGGCGCTATTTAGAAGAGTGCGTGCTTGAGAGGGTGCAACCCCGGAACGAGATGAGCGCCGCAAAAATGAAAGCGCAAACGCGCGATACGCACTCACTCACCCCGCGGGGGTACACGTGACTTCGATACACTTTCGCTTTAAACTGTCGCCTACAACAGTCCTCGTATATTTGCTAACGACAGAAAGTACTTTAGATTGCGTTGCAGTTGAAAAAGCGAGGACCGTTTGCGTGATTCTAAAAATGGAGGATTAAAGGATCGATATACGAAAGACAGTAGATTATGGGTTTTAAAAGGTGAAAATTCCATATATATATATACAAAGACAACAAAATATCGAATAGTGTAGAGAATATAATATAAAATGGAATATTCGGAATGAAGTACTTCGATTTTATGGAACAATTCGGAGATCAAAGATTAATTACTCAACTTATTGTTAGACATTCGGCATCTCAAATATTTTATAATTCAAACATATAATACAAAAGATTTTGAGAGAACGGACTAACGTCTCTTCTGAAAGACCAAACCGAGTTTCTCCCACGAAAGTCTCCCTGTTAATTTCTCGTGTGGAGGGGGTGCAGTTTAGAATATTAAAACTCAAACCTGGTTCTTCGTGGTTTGTCTGGCGCTTAACCACGAGACCACACTGCCACCTTTTCGTTATATCTTATATTTAACGAATAACAGTTTTGCAATTCGAAGGATTTAATGGCAGAGATCGCCGAGATAACGTATACAAAGCGGCTACAAGCCGGCACGATTCTTAGTGTCACGATGCGAACAATCGGTAAGCTAGGCAAATGCGAAGGAAACGGCTTCTGGAAAAGGCCTCTGAATGACCACCTACGGAGAATAATGAGCGGGAAATTAGTGGTGCGTGAGGGTACCAAGAGGATGTACCACCTGTGCACACCAACCTCCGTCACAACCGGGGGGGAGGGAGTATCCACTCAACGGTGAGATAAAGAAGAAGGAGGGAGGAGAGAGAAGGGAAGCCCGGTATATCCTTCGTCCTTTGCGACTCGTTACTCCTCCCACTCTCTTATTCCACGAACGAAGGATCTCGCGACGCGACCTGGTACAAAGGTATAGTCGACGAAGGTATTCAGCCAACGTAGATCCTCGATAAAACATTGAATGCTGCGTCCATTCAAAGCCTACCTACCCCTCCGCCTCTCTTCAACAGCCGATCCTGTGTCCTTCTCCCGCGGACTCCTTGGGACGTACGCCCACAAAACGAAGTGGAAATGTCGTCGCATCTCTATCCGGATCTCCGGCCTGCCGACCTGGCTTGAGATTCGATCTAACGGCTGCTGCGTGGTATAAAGACGAGTGAATTTCGACGACAGTTTTTCAGGTCACTAACAGTGACATTGACAATGGCGTCGAACAAGTCTCTACAGCTTGTATACAGAAAATCTACTTTAACGTTGTATTATTCTAAGCGATGTGTCTACGATGTTTTTTTCTCAAATTTATATCGAAGATGTAATGCAAAAACTTTTAATAATACTGTTTAATGGTTGAAGGATTCGTATACGATATTACATTGATGGCCGTGTAATAAATCTTTAAAAACTGATGACCTTAAAAGATAATATAAATGCTACGTTCCATCGTGTTATACGCGATATATCTCTTCATCCAATTACCATTTCAGTTATCGTATTAAAATGTATCACCTGCTTTATAAAAATATAAAATTATATGAAACCTTAAAATAACGTCACGGACTAAACCTGCCTCTCAAGGAAGAAATTCAAACTGCAATCAAGCTTGCATCCTGCTATCGAATGACAAAGA